ATCCCACTATCTGCGAGGTAGATGCACCTGAGGTGGTGAACGATGTCCTGACAGGGCTAGGAGAAGGGGAGATGGATGGGCTCCAAGGCTGTGCCAGGAAAACAAAGCACTGGTGGCACAGCCATGGACAAACTGTTCCTCCTGCCTCTGAGAAGCAACTTCTGCCTATAAGGGGGCAATCCTGACAAGGACATGGAGTGCTGGGACAGCTGGTAAAGGGATCCTCTGGAGCAGGCTGTCCCTTAAGGGCTGGAGACAGTAATTGCAGTGACTCATTTTCTGCTCGTTAGCCAAGGTGCGTGCTGTCCTGCCAGTTCCTGGGCCAGGACATGATTCTCAGGACTTGGATAAGAAGGCCCCAAAGGCATGAACCTGTGTGATGTGTTCCCAAAGGAGCACTAACAAGGTGGCAGGAGCTTCTCTCCAAGTCTGGCAGGTGCTCCTCAAGATTTTGAGGGGGGCACCTGAGCAGATTCTATCAGACACTGAGGGGTGCTTGCTCGTCGGGATGCTTACCTCGTCGGGAGCACCACTGCCTGGAAAGAAGTTCCCATCATCATAGCGATGTAGTGAAATATAAAGAACATTAGGATCATTGTAGAACGCTTGCTGAGTACCATTCCCGTGGTGGACATCCTTCAGGGACAGAGATTATATGAAGGAGGTTAATACCTTAGTAAAAATGCAGATTAAAGGCATCAATATGGGATTTGCAGGGATTTTCCTTGCTGTTTCGCTTTGTTGTCTGTGCTTCTCTGATCTGGCTGAAGCAGTCCATGGGAAAAAGGAATAACCTGGCTCCAGGTTACTCTCCTTGTTTAACATGAGGATAAATGGGGGCAAACACAATCCCAAGTGTCTGTCCAAAGTGAACACAGGATCAATTTACTTGGGTGGAGAGAACTGGCTGCACACACAATCTTGACGGATGGAGAGACTACATTTGTTGCCCCAAGTTTGCACTTTTAACCTCCCTGTGGGGTGAACACTGACACCAGTGCCCAAAGGTGTATTGGACGCAACAAGGTTAAGCGACACAACCTATTAGCACATCTCCTACTGCATTGCCATGTGGTGCAG